TTATAAGACCCCCGCAATTCCCCTGGCCCAGCTGGTGCGCGAGGAGCGTGCCAAGGCCCAGGGAGCGGAGGCACAAAGCCCTCCATAGTCGGCCGTGCTCTCTCGCGGCGGACATCGAACAATCCCAAGCTGTGTGCGTGTCCCCCCCCCTCCCTCCTCCTTCCTCACTCCTCCGTCCCCCCCCCCTCCTCCCTCCTCCCTCCTCCCTCCCCCCCTTCCCTCCTCCTCCTCCTCCTCCTCCTCCTCCTCTTCCTCCGCCTCCTCCTCCTCATTTCCTTGTCGTTGTCCTTCTGGATAACCCTTCGTGTCGCACCCCGAGGTCGGTCGAAAGGGCGGGCCGGGCGTTTCGCCTAAGACTTCCGCGCCACTTGTGACCCTGATGCTGGCAACTTGACAACCGTTTCACAAAGGGCGGGCGAGTGGTTTTCAAAATGCGATTTTCGCTTTAGCGGCGCGCGCATTCGTTTCAGACATTACAAGAGTTTCACGGATTGAAGGCAGGTGGTTTTCAACGTGCTACTCTCGCCTGAGCACCGTGCACATTCGATGTAAACATTTGCAAGCTTGCAAGAGTTGCACGGACTGAGGGCGGCACATTTCCAAAATGTGGGTTCTCGCCTCAGCGCCGCGCGCAGTCTTTTGAAACATGTGCAGAAGGCTCGCTGGTTCTCATGGTTAACATATCGATACCCAGGTCGAGTGGACGCGGTGCTGGAGGCCTACCGCGCGCCTTCGCAGGTGCTGCGAGATCAATGGTGCGCGCGCCTCCCGTCCCTGGTCGCAGTCGGCGGCTTCGAGGATGCGCGGGGGCAGCGTGCTGAATCTTCGGGGGTGGGACGCTGGGACTGGGCGTGGGTCGGCGGGTTACGGTTTCTGGTTTGCTCCTCCTCTGACCGATCTTGCGATCACCCGCCTGCATGGCTTCGCTGACCCGTCCTCGGTTGTGAAATTGATCTCCGAGTGTAAGGTTTAAGGGCCTGCGAGCTGCAGAGGATGACATCTTCGAGGCTTCTAGCTTCGAAGACTCGCGAATTTTGCCATCGCCCTGGCGGACCTGCTGCAGGCGTAGTCCCACGAGATCCACTGATCTAGGTAGTCTTCGCGTCTTCACGTCTTCACACCTCCTCCTCCTCCTCCTCCTCCTCTTCTTCTTCTTCTTCTTCTTCTTCTTCTTCTTCTTCCTCCTCTTCCTCCTCCTCCTCCTCCTCCTCCTCCTCCTCCTCCTCCCCTTTTGTTCTGCCTTCTGGGCCGCCACATCCTCCTCCTCCCCTTCCCCCTCCCCCTCCCCCTCCCCTCCCCCCTCCTCCTCCTCCTCCTCCTCCTCCTCCTCCTCCTCCTCCTCCTCCTCCTCCTCTCCTCCTCCTCCTCTCTCCTCCTCCTCCTCCTCCCTCCTCCTCCTCCTCCTCCTCCTCCTCCTCCTCCTACCCATAATAGTGGTGGAAAATCGGCCCATCAGATAACCCCCCTGCGCTTTCCTGCCGAATCGACTAGCGAAGTGCCGTTTGATCCGGTTCTCGGGGGAGCGTCGCGGCTGCAATTGTGGCTGGCCTGCGGCCGCCAGGTCTAGCCCCGGTAGCTCTCACCAAGGAGTGTTTTTGCGAAAGCTCGCTGCTCCAGCACACCCAGACAAAAACCTCGCGCTCTGAGGGGGGCTTCTCTGCCACGCGCAGCCTTTTCCCCCCTGTCCCCCTTCTTGCGGTATTCAATTTTATCGTTAGTGTCTCAAGCTGGTTCGTTGCGCCCCTTCGTAGCCCTACCGCTGCTTGGATACAAGTGGCCGCCGACCAAACGCGTTTTGGTGAAGCCCCGTTCGACTGTTTCCGGCCCGAGTGGCTCTCGAGGATCCATCTGGCTCGAGATGTCCCGCCGAAAGAGTGCGTAGAGGGCTCTGGCTCTGATGTGTTCGCGATGCTGCACTCCTGTTCGCGACATCGGATCGCGAGGTCCTTTCGCCGAGGGAAAATCACGGCGGGAGGCCGTGGCCACCTTTATGTCGGGCGTGTCCCCCTACAGGGGGGCTTTCGACGAAAAATCGAAAATACTCCTAACATGCCCCAAAAAGGTCAAAAATACTGAAAAATAGCCCCCAAACTATTTTTGCATTATTTGTTGACCAATTTTGGTGCATTTTTTCAACGAAAATCCCCCTGTAGGGGGAAAGGCCCGACTTGAGGCCACCCTCGGCCTCGCGGAGGCCCGTGCTGGGAACCCGGGGCCGTCTCGACACGGCTCGGGATGCAACGCCGGCCCTGGGGGAAGCGGTCCAAGTCTCCGGGGACCGACGCTGGGAACAGAACGGCGGCGCCGAGAGAGGATGAGGAGGAGGAGGAGGAGGAGGAGGAGGAGGAGGAGGAGGAGGAGGAGGAGGAGGAGGAGGAGGAGCAGGACGAGAGAGAGGAGGGGGAGCAGGGGGAGGGAGGAGGGAGGAGGATCCCACGCCACTGAAGGGCGCGTCTCTGTCTAGGCCGCGCTGGCCGCGCCGCCGCCGCCGTCGGCCCCCGCGGGGCCTGTCCTCAGGTGCTCCTCGGCGGAGAGCTCCTGGTAGAAGTCGTCGCTGTCGAAGAAGCCGACGCCTTTGGAGAAGGTGTCGACGACGGCGATGCCGTCAGAGTTGGAAGAGAGGGAGTCCACGCGCGGCTGCGGGGAGGTGGCCATGCCGTCGTGGTTGAAGTAGTGTTCGATGCCTTTGCGCTGAACCAGCCCTTCCGCCAGCGCAGCAAGACGAGAGCTGCATCCGCGAAGCGAGAAGAGGCCCCCACGCTGCAGGAACGGCGCACCAGGAACCGCCCATCGGTGTGCATGTGTCTGAGGAGCCACAGACGTACAACTGCCACTGTCGGCCGTGCCGTCGTCACGAACGTCACCCAGAGCGATGCCACCCAGTAGAGCAGTAAACTCATCGTCATAGTCACCCCCATCGTCACCACGGGCGTCACCCAGGAGAGCAGTGAAGTCGACATCTGGCATACCAGGCTCGACAGCACAGCGTACGCCGACCAGAGCTGGGGGAGCGTCATCACGCCCAGGGGGGTCCGCGCGAAGACCGTGCAGATCCGCCCTCGGACCGCTATGAGCCCCACCCGAACCTGAGGCTGCACCAGGGGAAGTAGAAGTTGCCACCGAACTCACCGAGCCCAAAGTCACAGCAGAACTCATAGCCGAAGGAGCCGCAGCGCCCGAAACTGCAGCAGAGAATGTTGAAGCAGCCGCCGAACTCACCGCGCCCGAACCCACTGCGGAACTCAACGGCGTAGGAGCCACTGAACCCGAGTGTGCACACAGCGCTGCAGCCGCAGACTTCGATGCTGCCATCAATCTCGAAGGAGTAGCCGGAGGAGTCCCAGTACCCGAGGTAGCAGCAGGGGACGCTGAACCCGAAGCTGCACCAGACGTGGTTGAAGTTGCCGCCGAACTCGAAGGTGCCGCAACAACCGAAGCGGCCTCCAATTCCCGAAGTGCGTGAAGATCAAGAGCGTTGCGGCCAGCCGCGCTAGCGTGCCAGAGAGATGTGGTGAGCGGCTGTACCCAAAGAAAAGCAGAGAACTGCTGACTTAGGCGCTCATGTTCTTCAGCTAACGCCAGGTCGGACACCACGGTCAGATCTGAGAGCCCGCAGTAGTCGCCTAGGCCACAATCAGGGAAAGATTTGCAGGCCTTGCAGGTAGCGACCCGTGGGCCCTCGGGCAGGACCTTCAAGCAATAGAAGTCGAGAGCCACCACCCCCGGAAGTCCAGCACCGTCCCGCTCACCGGTCTTGTCCCGCTCCACCGAGCAGACCCGAAGAGAATCCATACCAGGGCCCAGAACACCTGCATCGCCAGCGCCATGCCCAGAACCGGCAGCAGCGTCAGCACCGCCAACAGCACCAGGACGTGAGCAAGCAACGTTAACTCGATCAGCGGAATCGTTGTCCCGCGAGGCCTCCCCAGCACAAAGGGTCTGGTCAGATACGTAGAAGCCCTGCCACGAGGGAGAGACACAGTAAGGAAAAGGCCACCACGTACCCTGCGAGGCGAGCGCAATGGTGCATTGATCCCGAGCCTCCCAGGTAGCCGAACGAGCGGATAACAAGTTGAGGGGCTCTTACATCTTGTCCAAGCGCGCGACGATGGAGTCGTACATGTCGCCACAACCACACCTGCAATGGTTCCGCTTGTCGATCGGGGCGTTCTGCGTGTCAGGCAAGCCGTCGCGCAGACCCGCGGCGCCGCCGCTGGGAGGCGCAGGAAACGCCGCAGCAGCCTCAGCGTCAGCAGCGTCGCAGCTATCAGTAGCAAAAGAGTGGATCTCGACGCGGTCGGCCCAGCGCAGACGGACATCAGCGCCGCGGGGACGAGCGCCAGCAACGCGCCGAGCAGGTGGGAGAGGACATAATGAGCTGTGAACATGCTTGGCACGATCGGCCTGTACCAAGAACGATCGAGCGAGCGCATGGGAACTCGGAGAAAGCTCGCCACGTCGCAGAGCACGGTGGGCAGCCACCTTGCCAGCAGCAGCTGGCGGGACGCCAGCCAGCAGACCAGCAGCGCCCAATTGTCGGCGGAGCGCCTTGCCGCGAGCCATCCTCTTGACATCCTTGCAGTCGGCGGAGTCGACCTCCACGAACGACTTGTTTGGCGCACTGCGCGACGTGACGTAGAACAGGTCCCGCTCCCGTCGGCGGGCTTGATATGCAGAGAGAGGTGCACCATCAGCGAGCGCGGCCACCCATGAGCGGCAGCGAGGCATCCCAGCTGCAGCGAGTCCCACTCGAAGGTGAGGAAGAAAGAGAAGAAGGGCAACGATCAGCAGCATCGGCGCAGCGACGCCATGACTGAAGTCCCGCTCAGCGGCGGGCGACCGAGCACATGAAGGGGCTACCCCGCGCGGCGCGGCCCTGACGCTCCTGAGCCAAAATGGCGACGGAGGAGGAGGGGGGCGAGGAGGAGGAGGAGGAGGAGGAGGAGGACACGAGCAGGAGGAGGAGGAGGAGGAAAATGATGAATAGGAGGAGGAGGAGGAGGAGGAGGAGCCCAGCGAAAAAGAAAAGTCCTGTCCTGACTGATTAATCTACACAAATCCGCCGCCCACGCCGCGAGCCGAACCGAAACCGCGGAAGGCGACAGCCAAAGCGAGTAGCAGAAATGCTCCAGGGACGCGGCCCAGGGAGCGCATGACAGGGAAGCCCCACCACCGCACAAGGAAGAGCAACGCCGAGGAGCCCATGAGGGTGATCACAAACAGGCTCCAATCGAAATGCAACCCGACGCCGTGCTCCAGCGCCACAAAATGCGAGGAAGCAGCAGAGCGAGGGAGTAGACGGGGCAGCACACGACGTGACCACCGTCAAGTCGACCAGTTCGTCACCTCCCCGAGCAAGCAGGCGCAAGCCAGCCTGGAGAACGCGTGAGATCTGCGACCACCACAGGCGCCACACCATTCGTCGTCATCAAGGAGCGAGCCCGAAGAGGACGAAGAAGAAGCGGCAGCAGGCACGAGACCGCCGACGCGGACACGATCACGGCCAGAAACATCACGAACCGCCGACCGAGCCAGCTCGGCACGCACGGCAGTACAAATGATGTCAGACTCCAAGAGCTGCTTGAAGGTCGAGCCGACCGCGTTCGAAATCATACCAGTATTCTGAGAAACGACAGAGCCCACCAGGGCGGCCAGTTCATGAAGGGCCTGCTCGTGGGCAGCGACCTGAACCTTCAGGTCCGAAGTCAAAGAAAGGGAACTCCTGAAATCCTGCACCAGCGAGGCGGAGTCCCGCAGCGCCGACACATCTGCGGAGAAGCCATGAAACACGGCGTGGGACTCCATCAGAATCTGCTCGCGCGTGGACGGCAAGAAGTCGTTCACCTTGGAGCAATGCGAGTCCACGAGAAGCTGACAGTCATCCCATAGACGATCGAGGGGCCGCCGAAACCACCGTTCGACCGTGGCCGCCGAGGGGTCGACCACCATCGCCTTGAGCTTGGAGGTCTCCGCAGCAAGCACGCCGCGGCATTCCGCAACACCCGATTGGACTAAGGACTCGATGTGGTCTCTGTGCAGGCGAATGGCTGCCTCCACCCGGGCATGATCGGTGCGAAGCGCATCAGCAACAGACACAGCTTTGGCCTCGAACCGCGCAAGATCTGGGATACGGTTGAAACGGCAATCAATCCTGTCAACAACCAAACGTTGAGAGTCCACGACCTCCTCACGGAGCGCCTGGATTTTAGAATCCAAGAGCTGGAAGGCCTCCGCGGACTGCTCTTCAAGGTCGTGCAAAGCCTTGTCCGAGCGCTCGCGTAATTGGACCAGAGGGCCAGTCGGAACAATAGTAGATATCATATCTTCTAGCTCCCGCATCCACTGAAACTGCTTCTCGGACTTCTGCTCAATGGCGGCGAGCCACAGCTGTGTCTCGTGAGAGACGCGGCGGCTATATTCAATCTGCTGAGCGGCTGAACCAAGAGCACCCGAATCATAACAGTTGAAAAGAAACAAGCCATCGTCACATACACTGGGAACAGACGGAGGTAAAGTAAACGCGGGAGAGCTGACGAAGCAACACGAGACAACTGGTCATCACGAGCACGGGGGGCACCACTCTGGGCGGCGGCGTGCATCGCGATCCTACTCACATTGTGTTTGGCCCTGCCAGCAGACTTGTGGACGCGCTGCGACATGGCAAACTCAGCTGCAGACAGCTGTTCCCGAACTGCCAATGAAGCCAGGCGAGCATGGTGGTGCGGAACAGGATTGAACCCGTCATGCCGAACATGCATTTCCATAGAACGCAGAACATGTTGGGCTGGCTGTTGAAATCGAGAGCCAACTTCGATTGTGCAGCGACCACGAGGCAGCAAATAGCCCTGAAGGCGAGCGCGAAGGCGTCGGTCACGGAGCCGTCCTGCCGAATGTTTATGAACCATCACTCGAGGCGATGCCGCAACTCAGTAACGTAGCGAGCCATCCCAAGCCTGGATGAGCCAAGATGGTGGGGCGCGCGACGCGGCTTGAGCCAAAATGGCTACGGAGGAGGAGGAGGAGGAGGAGGAGGAGGAAGAAAACGAGGACAAGGCAGAGGAGGGAGAAGGGAGGAGGGAAAAGGGAGGATGGGGGTGAGGAGGAGAAAACGCACCCCTTGGAACGGGTCCCGCTTATCAGCCCCGCCTACTCGTAGGCGCTCTTGCCGAGCCCAAAGCCTGAGTGAAGCGACAGACGGCCCGCGAGCGCCGCGTGGCCACGCGAAATCGGCCAAATGCAACACTCCTGGCCTGGGCAGAAGACCCTGGCCAGGCCCGAAGTGAACTGATCGAGGTGAGAGAGACGTCGAAAGCAACAACATGGGACAGCAATGGTTGAAGGGGCCCTGGGACACACAAGTAAATACACACAAATAACAGGATTCTCTTGTTGTTCCATATGTTCTGGGTTTTTGTCTTCCCCACCGCTTCCCTTATTTCCCCATGTTTCCTGGGGGATCGACGATGAATTGTGTCTGTGTGTTTTTCCCCTCCTCAATGATTCACTCGAGCAGACAGCACACAGACGTGGTACTATGCAGGCGCGCGCGCACACGGGCCCCAGCCCACGGGCAGGGAAGGGAGCAAGGCGTCGAATGGATCCCACGAAACTTGGTCAGGTCAGGCCAGGTGCGGCGTGCGCAAAGGCGCGCCAAGGCGGGCTGCCGCGGACCTCCTCGCCTTCTCACACGCGCTGTCTTGCAACCGCCACCTTCTCACACCCTCGCAAAGTAGTCAGTCCATCTCTTTAATGGCCTTCCAACAGATCGAAACCCAGGCGGCACCCATCGTAGCGCACCCTGCCCCCACCTGTGGTCACTGCACGACTGTAGCTTCTGGTATAACTTGAACGCAGAGGTGTGGACGAACGGGAGCATGCCATCTCCGTCGACTCAGCCACATCCCCAAACGCACGGCTGAACCCGTTGTCGGCACCTGTTACTCGTGTTCCGCGTGTTGAACGCAGAGGTGTGGACGAACGGGGCGAGCCTCTGACCGACACGCCCCAGATGAAGGATCGTGAGGTCCACCTCTTCTAAGGAGGCCTCTTGAACCCACGTGCGAACCCTGGGAGCCACATGGAGCGACAGGGGGAAGCTCCCAGCTTCCGTCGGAGAGCAATCGTGATCTTACGCTGGGTAGAACTACGATTAGATATGTCCACAGGTCCGCATACCCGCTGGTAATCGTCGTACCTATACGACCACCTTTCGGGTGATAAGGAGATTTGGGGGGAAAAAAACCAACTGATGGCAATCGTGGTGATTGTGTCGAGGACGATGCCGGTGATGCGCCCTCGGGTTGGCGACGACGCGTGATGATGATGCTGTTCGCGATAAGTTCTGTTGCTTGTCATCCCACCCGGCGCGCTCCAGACATGAGAGACGGCGCGATCGAGACACTGGAGGTCAAGAAAGATCGCCCCAAGGGTTCTCCGCAACACTGTCCTGCGCGGCGTCAGCCGGGCGAGCGGCATCGCCAACACCTGTTGTGTTCGATCTCCTGTCGCTCTCACTATCGTTCTCACACGAGATCTCACTATCGATCAAGATCGCATGATCGATTTCACAAGGAATTCCACTACGATCGTCTCACGACGATTTATCGATCTCCATACGAATTGTAAATTCATGTCACAATCGATCTCAAAAAACAATTTCACGATCGATCTCACAGGCAGATCGCACTATCGATGTCCCAATCGATCTCACAGTCGATCTGACAATCGAATTCACTATCGATCTCACATTCGGACTCACTATCGATATCACAACAGTTCTCACTATTCACCTCACAATCGATCTCCCAATCGACATCACAATCGATCTCACTGTGGACCACCTAGGGATCTCACACGCGATCTCGCCATCGATCTCACAACAGATCGCACTATCGATCTCCCAACGGATCTCACGATCGATCTCCCCAACGATCTCACTATCGCTCTCGCCGCCCTGCTCACAGAACGCTAATTCGCGCCAGAACACCGATGGAACACCGACGGAACATCGACAAGACACCGACGGGCCACCGACGAGACACCCCCGGCCACCGCGCGCCGGGCTCCACAGCCCCAAGCCACGTCGGCATCACTCCTCTCGCGCGCCCATGCAGCTTCGCCTCGCCCGCACGCACGACACGAACACGAAACCGATTTCCTGGTGGGGGTGTCCCCGTTCCACTGCGATCTCACCCCCCAACATCCGATACGCGGCACATCCGGAAGAAAACGGATTCTCGGTATGACCACTCATACACTATCACAGCATCGTCTTGGTCAACCTTGACTTGTAGTTTACACCGCAATTGTTAAAATTGCTCAGATTGGCCAGCAGCACGGATCATGGCAGCTCGGACACTGGCACGAAGGGCATGACATTGAAGCTTGCCCCCTAGAGCTGCCCCTCTGCAGAACGGCAAACAGGAAAGACAAGCGAGGAACCCACATAAGCAACTGCTGTCCCTCACGCTCGCACCTGAGACCTTCAGACGTCACAATGTGGGACTGAGATACGTGTGAGCATACCGTGTATGCATCGGAGGTGAGGGGGTGAGATCGAAGTGGCACGGAGAGCCCCCCTACCGGGGAATCGGTTTCGGTTTCGTGTTTGTGCGTGCCGTGCGTGCGGGCGAGGCGAAGTTGGGTGAGCGGGCGAAAAGAAAGTCTCCTCCGGCTGAGGCGCGGCCAGACCACACGATTCCTTTCCGGGGGCCGGTGGCCCGCGGTGTCCCGCCGGTGTCCCGCCTGCGGCTGAGGCGCGGCCGGACCAAATGATTCCTTTCCGGGGTCCGGTGGCCCGCGGTGTCCCGCTGGTGTCCCGCCGGTGTCCCGTCGGTGTCCCGATGATGATGATGATGATGATGATGATGATGATGATGATGATGATGATGATGATGATGATGATGATGATGATGATGATGATGATGTAGATGATGTTGATGATGATGGCGATGGTGGTGATGATGATGGTGTCCCGATGATGATGATGATGATGATGATG